TAAACCTACAAGCCTAACCTGTATTCCTGAAGGTTATGTAAACATCAGAATGTGCAGTATATAGGAAACATTTAGCTACATTCGAATGAAAGATACACAATTACGTTACTTCATCAAGATTTATTATTTATTAACAGCTGGTACTGGGCTTGGTGTTCTGCACAATACACACAGGACTTGATTCTGCCCTCTGAGCAAAATGTAACTCAATGGGGCCACTTGCATGAGTAGGTAGTATGCATTATGATTAAGGGATGCAGAATTAGGCATAAAGGAAGCCAAGCTGCCTAGCCCACAGAGCTTAAAATATATGTGTGCTAAGCAATTTAATAATGTTTCTTCAAATTATGTCCAAGTAAATATTTAGTAACAACCTGATGGTGTCTGTTTTGTTCATATGCTAGACTTCAGACAGCGTGATAAATGGAAGTCAGAAGAACTCATATGCTGAGCCAGAGAATGAACGTTCAGCCCTGCTGGCAGCAATCAGAGGCCACAGTGGCACATCAAGACTGAAAAAGGTAAAAAATAGATAAATAAGATCAGTGCTCTTCTTATTGGTTATTCCTACTGAATATGTTGGGTGCACAATGACCTAAAGTGATGCAAAGTAATGTGTATTGCAACAAGAAGACTTTAGAAAAAACATTGACAACATAGGGCACGACTGTAATGCTTACGTGATGGGCCAAAATCTTCATTCCACTGTAGTACTTCATTGATTTTGTTAGCTGGGACTAACAATTGTTAATGCACACATTAAATCAAGGTAAACCCAAATTAGTTTAATAGGGGACTGCACACTCCAGATACTTGACCCAGCTATCTTCAGTTCAGGATTTTCACAAGGTTAGGCATTATAGATGAGCTTTTCACTGTAGGAATATGCAATTTTCACTCCACCTAATTTACGTCTCACAATACCCCAGGCGTCTACCTAGCTGGCTGTATGTGCATGCAAGTACTTGATTTCCACATACACACTGTAATTTATGGTTATTAGTTAGATACATGCAACATATGCATGCAGTTGCAAGCAACTAACTAAAAATCTGGCATGTTTCCCCACAACTCTAGGGCTACGTCTAAACTACATGGCTCCATCGACGGAGCCATATAAAATAGTTTATTCGGCATAGTCAAAGAAGCGGGGATTTAAATAATCCCCGCTTCATTAAAATAAAAATGGCCACCTCGCTGCGACAATGATCAGCTGATCTGGCACAGCGCGGCAGTCTAGACGCGGCGCAGTCAACAAAGGAAGCCTTTGTCAACCACTCTGGTAAGGATGGGACCCTTCTTGCCCTTTGCTGGATCATTGAACAGAGGGAAGGTTCACATTAGTGCAATTCATACTCTAGCTTCTAAAACTAAGAAATATGGTTAGATAAATTCTTCCGACAGACAGTATCATCTAGGCTACGTCTAGACTACATGGCTCCGTTAACGGAGCCATGTAGTCTAGACGTAGCCTAGATGATACTGTCTGTCGGAAGAATTTATCTAACCATATTTCTTAGTTTTAGAAGCTAGAGTATGAATTGCACTAATGTGAACCTTCCCTCTGTTCAATGATCCAGCAAAGGGCAAGAAGGGTCCCATCCCTCTGATGCAGTGAAACCATTACCAACTATCTACACATCTGGGGCTCACAGGTTGTTTACCAACCACATATAATATCTGTTCTCCCCTGTGCTACTCCAGTATCCCTTCCTTGTGAATGTCTCATTGCTTGTTGGGTAAATAGAATAGACAGCTTCCTATGAGACTTGACTTACAGTACAGTGTAACCAGTACACCTAGGCTATGTCTACTCTATACATTTTTGCAGCAGAAAATATGCCTTATGTGCAAGATCTCTCCTGGAGGCATAGGGATCTTGTGCAAAACAGGGTTTTTGTGCAAAATGGAAGCGGCTACACTGCTTCATTTTGTGCAAAAACCCCTGGCACAAAAAGAAATGGCAGAAAATATGCTAATGATGTCATGGCTTATGCTACTGAGTCCTGCATTAGCATATTTTCTGCCGCAAAAATGTGTAGTGTAGACAAAGCCCTAGTGTGTGGTTTACTGTCCCATGTCGTGGCACTTAGACCACGTAAAGTGAGAGATAAGAATGAGGGAGCTCTACAGCTTAAGCTGAGATCCAGCTGGTTTTATAGCTCAAGCTGTAGCGGCCCCTATACTAAGCTCAGTAGTCTGAGGTTCGAATCTGCCTAGTGGTGGTTACAAGTGGGGTCTGGTCCGGGATCTCAGCTGGGTCTCTGAAGCTTGGGATGTGCTTCCTCAGCTAGGGGAAGTATGTAATGCACAGGCCTAGGCTTTGTCTACTCTGCATGGTTTTTGCACAAGAAGCCCTTTGCGAAAGAGTTCTTGTGCAAAAACTTCTTGTGCAAAAGCGCATCCAGCCCTTAAAGCGATGTGCTTTTGCGCAAGAGAGCAAAATGGCTGTCAGAGCACCTGTGCTTTTTTCGATAGGGGTTTCTTGCGCAAAACCTCCTCCAGAGCAACCACACCTGCCTTTCTGCGCAAGACCTGTAGCACAAAAAGGAGTTATTCCTCATGGGGAGAGCCCTCTACTCTGTCAATTGTCTTGCACAAAAATGTACTTGAGGTGTGGACCACTTACATCAAGAGAAAAGAACAAGGGAGCTCTACAGACTAAGTTGAGAGAGAGCTGGCTTTATAGCTCAAGCTGTAGAATTGCCTTTACTAAGCTCCAGCAGTCCCATGTTCAAATCTGCCTACTGGTGGTTACAACAGCATGTTTCTAGAGGCAGTGAAAGAGCAGCCTGGCACATAGCCAATCCAGGGTTGAAGAAGTGGAAAGGGACTCCTTTGTCCACTCATTGTACTGAACTGCACCGTGTATTGCTTGGGCATAGGTGAGAATCCGTGTGAAGAACACTCTGAAAATATGTTGTTGTATCATCATAGAGATTCTTTCAGTTGCTTTTCTCTGGTACAAAAGAGTGGCTTTTTGCATTAGTTGTAAGGACACTTCTTTAGAAACCATGTATTACTTCTTCACACAATGTGGTTTGTGCTGTTTAATGCAGTGTGTATGTATTGGAGTGGACAGAGTACAGGAATAGACAGCCACTCCCGAGTTCTTGTACTACCATTCGCTCCTTCTGGGAATGTCTACACTGCGGGGTTATTTCGGAATAACTCCCCTTATTTTGAAATTAAAAGGCAAGTGTCCACCCTACCAAGCCTGTTATTTAGAAATAATGGGTTTGTTATTTCAAAATAATAACTCCTGTTTGCGAAGAGGAATAAGCTTATTTTGAAGTACTTATTTGGGAATTGTTATTTTGAAATAAATAATCTGGTAGTGTAGGCATAGCCTCTTTGACCATCGATAATTCACATGCCACTCTCTGCCTCAGTTTCCCCCTCTGTGAAATGGGGATTATGCTCACAGAACAAATGTGGAAATACAAAGGAAATATTGTTTGCCAAACATTTTGAGGATAGATCAATTCTTGACATTTATGACATTGTTGCTATTAATAGGTATTAGGGACATTGTTAAAGACAAAAGTCTATTGAAAAAGCACAAGCCAGCTCCCTACCAAGTTGTTTACATTAGAGCAGGCTTCTGCACATATAATTCATGTAGCAATTTTAGATTAAGGAATTCCAAAGTAACTCTACTGGAAAAGCAGTCAGTTGATTTGCCCCATTTACTTTCAAATAGCTCCCTCTGGTTTTATTTCTTTTTAAGTTGGATGGAAACTGTAAGTTTAAGAATAATTTGAATGTGAAGCTAGGAGTATGAGCACAGATCTTAAGCTCTCTCTCTCTCTCTCTCTCTCTCGTCCATTATTACCACCTTACCATACCGATTACTATAAGTAAATGAGATACCCTGGTGCCTACAGCTACCCTAATACAGTTTCTTGAGTCCAAAAGCCTTACAGTCATTCCCAAACTCACACCCAGTCCAACTCTTTACCTTACACTTAAAGAAGAGTTACACTGTAAGGATGCAAGAAGTCACAGTAAGTAAAGATTGAATTTCTGAGAGAGCCGATGCCAAGTCCTTGGTCCTGGTAATCAGCCCAGCTGAGCCATGTGAGAGAGTAGTAACAGATGTTTAAACCAATGAGCAAACAAAAGTTCTACACATTATATATCAGTTGAGCAAACTGAAGTTTGGAGTTGTGAAATAAAAGTGTGCCTCGAGTGTCAAATAATTACAGTTTATTGCTATGCCAGATATGAACTATTCACTTTCAGTTTGTCTTGTTGGCAGATCTCATCATCAGCCTCTGAAGAGCTGCAGAGCTTTAGAAATGCAGAACCGTCTTTGCAAAATAAAGAAGACTTTCAGGCAGAGCAACTTCGGATCCCCCCTCCACCTGCCCTGCCACCACCCCCGCCTCCTCCCAGCCACAAGTCCGTGACAGCTCCTAGATTTCATGCCACTGCTACAAGTAACCCTGGGGATGCAAGGGAGGCCCTAATGGAAGCCATTCGCTCTGGTGCTGGAGCAGCCAGGTTAAAAAAGGTAAATGTACCCATGTATATGGTCAGCCTTTTAGTTGAGACAAGCTGAGCTTGCAATCCTGCCCTGAGAGCAGTTTGCAAGTTGTGCTAACTACATATTTTTTCCTTTTTATCAACTTAAAAGGATGCATACCATGTTTTCTCTAATGGCAATGGAAAGATTAGTGTTGCATCTCACATCTTTGGACACGTATTAAAACACATTACCTCGAGTATGGTTTTTCTTCATGTAAAAATAAAATGTGCAGGGATATTTTTCTTTTAAAAAGAGACATTAGGAGTATTATTTTTTTTAAACCATAGAATTGGGTGGCCTCTTCTATTCTATTCTGACAAACTAAAAATAATTCCATTTGACCTCTGAACAATGGGACCTAGCCAAAGTTAGACCCTGAGACCCTTTTTCTCTAGCCTTTTCCAAAAATATCTGCACTTAAGCAATTTAGGGATAAATATTCACCTTTAATTCCAATAGCATATCATAGGTTTTCGTACCCAATGTTTTCCCCCAGTCATCCATCCTTTAGGCTGACTGAATCAAATTGTGAGGCCTAATATTCTTGACAGTGTCTCTTTTCCGGTATGCCAGATTTTTACTAATACAATCCATATCTCTCATAAAATGTGGTTCTACATAAACCTTCTGAAGAACATGAAACTGAACCACCCAGTATGCAAATATGTGCACACACAACACATGGTGATTTCCAGACTCTCATACTCTGGTGTGAGTCAGGAATAACTCCTCTGAAGTGAATAGAATTATACCAGTACAAATTCATATGGGATCAGTTTCAGGCTCTGCGGGTTTCATTCCATTTTTAATTGTATGTATGCAACCCCCAATGGCCTAAATATTCCTCTGAGTTCTATTGGTATATTTTGGAATGATTGTATTAAACTCTTTGTGCCAGATTCTACTGTCACACTGAATTACCCCTGATGTACAAAATGATGGTGAAAACAGATTCAGGTCCATTGGCTTCAGTGGCTTTATTCCAAAATTCACTTAGTTACAGAATGGACTTCAGCCCATACGCTTTTGGGTATTTGTAATTACAGATGTAGTTTTCCCACGTTGGGACTAAGCTGATGCAAACCATAAACACATAAATATGATTAGCCTTGTCCATTTGCCCTTTATAAAACAAACTGAACAATATTATCCACCAACTAATACTAGAGCAGTAAAGCATCTCATTTCTTGTAAAGTGCAACTTTTATAGAATCAGACTTCATCACACAAACAAATCAGTGTTTCAGGAAACTCCTAAGGGTCCAACTTCAGCACACTAAACAAAACCGATTTCTGCAGTTATTTTGCATGTGTAAAATTACATATAATATGCTGTCTTGGGATGTAGAAGGCACCAATCATTATGGTACAACCATCTAGCAATGTCATGAAAAAGCAAAAGACACCAGAACAAATGAGGCTTTGTCTCTCCATTTCACCTGTCTAGAGAAAAATCTTGCTATGGATCTTCAGCATTATTGTATGTATTTTTGTTGTTTCTTTTCCATGCTATTCCTGAAGAAATACTTTTTGGCAACAGTGGGTTTTACACATTGAGACAATCAGGGCTGGGGTCAGCCTGACCTCTTCCAGGAGGGAATTCCATAGTCCTTCTGAGTTCCAAGTCTTCTGGAAGGAAAGATAGTTTAAATGTAGATTCCTCCAACTACATGATCCCTGTGGAGGTTAGCTGTACGCGTTTTTCCAAAAAAAACCTCTGTAGTGTAGAGAGAGCTTCAGAATCAGGCCCATTCTTATTTGATTGATTTCAGTTGCAAAGCAAGATGAGAACTATTCACTGTAGATAGGATTTCAGCTTTTGTATTTATAAATATGTTGCACAGAGATAGGCACTCTGGGTTGATTAGCAGGTTCACAGCATGGGATAGTTCTGCTGGACATTATTTGGCTGATTGTGTGTTTGAGGGAGAGTCATATTTTGCTTACTTTATGGCTGCAGCATCAAGCTTGCTGGTGAGCCTTGAGTAATGCATGGACAACAGCTGTGAGTGGATTTTGGACCAGAGGCACTACAGCTTTCTGGCTTGCTTGTAATGTTTTTTGCATCATTTATCAGACAACTACAGGGGCATGTGTGGAAGGCAAGAGCGCCGGGCTCATTTTGGAACGCCATTGTCAATGTTTTCTATTAGCTATTGGTTGCAGTTTGTCAACAGGTAGTATTTCAGTTATGTAGATTTCTCTTCCATTGTCCTCTGGAAACTTTTGGAATTAACATGAAGTAATTTTGTTGGTACGTAGTGAGGAGAACCAGAAAATCTCTATTGTTTTTATGAATAACGTGCATGCATTTGTGTGTTCATTTGTGATGGGTTACTTGCCATGGCATTAGACCAGATGCAGCTGTCTTGGGAACCAGGCAGCAAAGGCAACACAATGGCCAAGATAAGAAACATCACAACAAACACTCAAACAATGGCCAAATTAATAGCTGGCAATTAAGAGGCAATTCCTTGGTTCCAATCTTGCTGTTTTGCCAGGGCTAAGTACCTAGAGATCAAAAGACAACTGATCATCTAAAAGAACTGCCGAATGGAAACGGAGAGGGAAAATTAGCTACTACAAGCTGATGCAGACTGACTAACAGCCAGGGGTCTGCAGTAAGTGAGCTGGAACTTGGTTCCAAAGAGAACGGGCACCCAGGATTTCTTGAACATTTCGTGGCTTGAGGGGGAATATGAGTTGTAGGCAGGATGCTGTGTTGTTTTTTATTCATTTATCTGTAAGCTCTGCACCTCCTGAAAAGTAAAACATACTGGCTGCGTCTAGGCTGGCATGATTTTCCGCAAATGCTTTTCACGGAAAAGTTTTTCCGTGAAAAGCATTTGCGGAAAAGAGCGCCTAGATTGGCACAGATGCTTTTGCGCAAAAGCACTTTTTGCAGAAAAGCATCCTTGCCAATCTAGACGTGGTTTTTCACCATTTTTGCCATTGGGGCTTTTTTGCACAAAACAGTTCTCCCCTGTCTACACTGGCCCTCTTGCGCAAATACATTTGCACAAGAGGGCTTATCCCTGAGCGGGAGCATCATAGTATTTGCACAAGAACACTGACAATCTTACATTAGATCGTCAGTGTTCTTGTGCAAATTCAAGCAGCCACTGTAGACAGCTGGCAAGTTTTTCCACAAAAGCAGTTGCTTTTGCGGAAAAACTTGTCAGTCTAGATGCAGCCACTTTGTTTTGAAGAGGAAGCGTTTATGTCACTGAATACTCTTTTTGTCCAAAATCAAAGTGGTAGCCATGTTAGTCTGAAACTGCAAAAGTGATAAGGAGTCCTATGGCACCTCATAGACTAAAAGATTTCTTGGAGCATAAGCTTTCGTGGGAAAAGACCCACTTCATCAGATGCATCTGATGAAGTGGGTCTTTGCCCACAAAAGCTTATGCTCACATACATCTGTTAGTCTATAAGGTGCCACGAGTCTCCTCGTCGTTTTTGTCCAAAGACTCTCAAAGAGAAACACTTTTGGGGATTAGGTTTGTTGGGCCTTCGGTATATCATGTTTGGCAACCTAGGGAGTGTAAGACAGAGACTCATTTTGAGAGTATGGGGGTCACAGGATCCAGCCCATAAAGAAGTGGAGGCATGTGCCTGTCACTTGAAAGGGGTGGGCTCCAGGAACTTAGAGAAGTTCTTTAGTTTCAATAATAATGAAATATCGGCCTATCCAGGAACATGATGTGGTGTTCACCCTTCCAAGGTCTGCCAGTAAGCCATAGATAAGGCCTATTATGTATACAGTGGCAGGTGTGTTACTGGGGACCACCTGTGAGAAGTGCATGGTCATTATGTTAGATAGGCTATGTGAGTATATAAGGGGGTTTTATGGGTTACCGTATCCTAAGGACAGTTAATCATCAACAGGAGCCCTTATCTAGTCTCCTTTTGCTTTGGCTGCCGTCGCTTTCAGTGGCCTGTGTCCTTAGCTACTAATCAACTCTGGATAAGAGCACATGAGATATTTAATTCCTGGATTTGAGTGAAAGCCGTGGGCCACTGGACAGTATTAGATAGAATCACTAGGGCAAGAGCATGAATCAGATGATATAAGAAAGAATAAAAGGTTGACTGCCTATCTAGACCCAAATTCTCTGGTGGTATTAATGGGCAAAATTCTGTTAATGGAGTGGCATTCGTTAGGTCTTCACTTTCAGTAGTGGTATAATATATTCAAAATATTGCATCAAATGGCTTTATATAAGTTTGGTGATATTAATTCCCTTTTATTTAAGTTTCCTTTTATCACAGTGATAGTATGAAAATACAGATTTCTGAAATGTGTATTCCTCTGCATGTGGTTGTATGTGTAATTTGCATATGGATTTACCATCATTATACCAGCAATCACAGATATTCCATATGTGAATGCTCAGTTATACAACTAGCTGCGTGCACAATTGCAGCCAATATCTGCCCTAATAACATTAAAATATAGAATGGATCCAGTTCTTCTGTCAGTTAACACAGTTGCAGCACCACTGGGCCAATTTTATTCTTACATCTATACAAATTCCATTGTATTAGTGGGAGTTTCGCTCAGGCATTTTCTATCAGATAGTGGAGGAGTCTGCCGGCATATCTGGAGAGTGGACTTTTTTGTTACATTTAACAAATTAAATTCTGTACACTGTACACTTGTTGTTTTGTGTGAAAGACAAAAGAAAATTTCAACTTGTCTCCTAGCTAATAAATCATTCAGGCTAATCAGACTAATTTTTCAAGGATCCGTAGTACTTCCAAAGCCTGTCTAGCCAAGAAAGGAAAGTTTTAAAATTATCAAAAATTTGCTAATCTATTTTGCTTCTATTTGACCCTAAAATCCTCTCTCCTTTCAAGTGAGTCAGAGCCCAGTGACTTTTCAAGTTCTTTTCATCCTGGCCTTGACTCAGAAAAGCATCCCTATTTTGGAAGGAAATGTAAGCATGTGCTGTAACTTAAGCTTAAATTAAGCATATGCTTAAATGTTTTCATGATGGGCATGAATTTAAGTATGTGCTTAAGTATTTTCCTGAATTCAAGCCTGTTCCTAACCAAGGACCCCACACAAAAATACACCACCAGTTAATTTATCTGACCAGTCACAACCACCTCAGCTCATATTTCAGCTATCAGATATTGAATACTCACCATGCACATTTGTGATTATTCTACAGTTTGTTAAAAATTGATCTCATAATTTTGATCTCATAATGTTTTCATAATTTTGAAAATTTTAATATGTTTTGATCCATTCAAAATTTTGATCTGTTTGTCCATAGATAACTTTCAAGAAGGAAAAGACACTAAATTCACTGAGTGGAAATTATTTGCTAGTAAAGAATGGTGATATAAAAATAAGAATGAAATTACCCCACTAGAGAATGTTTGGCTAGTAATGTCAAAAGTTGGAGATTTAGTAACATATTGAGTGATCATGTGCTTTTCTTTCATTCTAGGTCCCACTCCTAGTTTGAATCATGTCTAAAGAACAGGTAATTGGAAAATCTAACTTCACACACAGATAATCATCATTCAAGGATTGATGTGGCAAAGCACATCAAGAAATTTAGCTTATTATCCTATGGGCCAAAATAAGTTGCAGTTGTATGTTCCTGCATAATGGTTCTAAGGCGAAAATATAATGCTTTGCTGCACAGTTTTTGTGCCAAGGACCTGTGTTTTGCCTCTGAATATTTAAGATTGCCAATAAAGTATTCTTGTTGGCTGGTTAATAAGAACATAAACACTGTATAGTCCTGCTTTAATGGTGTATTCGGGGAAAAAATAAGATTTTTGCTGCCTGTCTGAACAATAACATTAATTCACTATTTAGTTGCTTAAAAATATGCAAATATTTCAAACAATGTACTTGTTTCTTACTCTTTGATTTGGACAAAATAGCAAGAGCCAATAAGAAAAAAAAGGAAATATAATACAGATCCATCAACATTAATTATAAGAAAAAAATGGTAGATTCTGAAATGCTTAGATTGCCATATGCTATTATGTTATATCATTAGGAGATTATTATATCTCTAGAATTCTCACTAAGCAGGTAATGAACAGGAATATGACATGTACTGAACCCTAGTAATATTCATGACACTGTGAAAGTGTTGAGATGTAAAATAAAAGGGACCTTCACTTAAAACAGAGACTGTGAAGGATTTAATGAACGTTTCAAAACACTGCCTAGTCTTTCAGGATCTAGGACTCATTACTGCCCTCTAAAATGGAGGTGTGCCTATTCACATATGTAAGAACAGGACCAATCTATGGGTCAGATCCTGAGCTGCTGTAACTTGTACATAATCTGTCCCCTTATTTCTAGTTAATTATGGCTGTAGCATTGTCTCACAATTATTTATAGCAGCTTAATTTACAAATATTAACTACTTTGGTAGTTGACATATTTTGAAACTATTTCAATAAATTGAAATGATAACTTAAGGAGGACAGATCAGTCAACATTTTGCTCACATTTACTATATTGTCATGAATTTTAGGAAGTGGGAGTTTGTATATTTTAAATTTTTTATGATCATCCTATCACTGTACACAGCCCAGAATGGAAATATTTAATGGGGGAGGGTTTCAGAGCTGGGAGTTTAAAACATCGCTGTGTAGTGTTGCTAATGTTAAAAAAGAGGACTGTTCAGCCATCTGTACTTAATATGACTGTATGTTATATATTGTAAAATATTTGTCTGTTAGTGCCACAAATAAAACATGTTGTACAAGACCTGCAGGATTCTTTGCCTTGCTCTTTGCAGTTTTAGAACAAAGTGGGAACTAGATCGGGATGAAAAGGCAATGCAGCAGCATGTTGTGGTACAGCTCTCAGAGTCTTCATGGACACTGTTTGAAAGCCGCCTTGCCAGTCTGATGGGAATGCTATTAAAAACTAACAAATGGACCCAGGAACCAAATTGATGTAAATCCTGATATTAATGTGACACTGAGGGAGAAAGATTATCTCATTATGGAATTATGTATAGTCACAAAGCCACATGCTGTTTTAGATCCCATGATAATCAGTTAAGCTCACCTTTTTGTCAAGCTGGTTGGCCTAGTTACATAGTGGTCCTCTGAGCCATAGAATCTTCCCAATTTATCCTACCGCAGAAAACTAGAGGTAACTCCATAAAAATGAATTGACCAACATAAGACCTAATCCTGACAATTGTTACTCTAAGGAATAATGCTCACTCATATGAGTAATCCCACTGAATACAAGTGTAGATCCTGTTGATAAGGAGTTGCAAGTATATTCTCTGAATATGAGAGTGAAATTCTTTAGTGCTTGCTGATTATATAGCCCTTGGTGCTTATGTTATTAGGCCTATTGAATTCAGTGGGACTGCATGCATGTGTAAGGGCTGCAGAATTGGATCTAGGGAGGATGATGTAATGTATGTTGTATGCCTTACGATTCGACCCATACAGTCTTCCTCAGCCATGACATGACGTTGGCACTAATGACACGGCACTAAATTTGATAAAAGTTATCCTTGGAAAGACTTCCAATTATCAAAATCTAAAGGATAAAGCAGTTATAAGAGTAAGATCATCTGTGATATGAAATGTCAAATTCACCGTGATGCCGAAAAGATGATAAAAAATCCACTTCAGGGATCACAGAACAAGGTAAAGCTGCAATGAGGCCAATGAGGAGTCCAACTTCTTATGCTATCATTGCTGGAAAAGGAGTACACAATTCTTGTTCCTCTTCACCACCATCATTGCTTCCACTTACATGAAGAGCAGGATTGCTGCCTGAAAATAGGCCACAATGTTCCCAACAAATGGGAATGTTAATTTGCACCTGTATTAAAGTCAATACTGTACTAACAAATCTCTTCCCATTAAAAGAATGAATAATATCTCTGGGGCACTGTGCTTAGAGACCATGACCAGATAAGGAAGTATATATGCATAAACCTGTGTAAAACACTCATCTCTAGGTTACTCCCTCTAGTGTCCCTGCATGGCTCCAGTTATGGAAAGCCAGCAGAGTGGGTGCTGTCCTGGAAAGGCCAAAATAGGGACCGTCAGCTTTTCCATCATGCCTCTGCTAGCTGAGGGTTTTCTAGCATTCACCTAACCAGAATTTCTCAGGAGGAGAGGCGCAGTGGAAAACAGTCATTGTTAATAAGGAATGTATTCTGATTATGAATATTTAACATAGCTGATCATGGAGGTTTTTCATCAGCTGAATCTTCCACCTCTCACTGAATTGTATACAAACTTATTCATCTCACTGATTTTTACAAGGCACTTCCATGGGACCCGATTACCTTTCTTCTCCACCCTCCCCACTCTGTCGTCTTCAATGTATGCCTGTTCAAAGAGGGAGTAAAAACGTGATCACCAACATAAAGCAATGGAGAGATTGGATTTTGGTAGTGTTGACACTTTGTATAGGTGTAAGTGACTACTGTGACAGTTTCCTCCCACTTCCCATGCTTTATGAAATTGACTTATGGACACAAATATGCATAACTCGAAGATGCTTTTGACAAAATACCTCATGTAACCTATCGATTTGAATGTCTCAATCTGCCGGATCTATATATCTTATTTTGGGGTATATGTCACTCTTGTATGTAGAGTTAGAACTATGGAGTATGGAATGGTTTATGGTTTTAAATGTGCAAATGATAGCCATCGAGGGTGTTTTCCTCACCCCAGCCTACATGGGGATATGTCTGAATTAAGATATGCAACTTCAACTACGTTAATTGCATAGCTTGAGTATCTTAGCTCAAATTTTGGTGTCATCCACACTGCAGGAACTCAAAGGGAACGCACACTCCCTTCAACTCCCCTTACTCCTCATAGAAGCAAGACAATTGGCATCAACAGGAGCGCCCTCTCAGTTCGAATTAGCTGTCTTCACTAGACCCACTAATAGAACCCTGGAAGATTGACAGCAGCTGCTTCGATCTTATCTGTAGTGTAGACGTGGCCTCAGTGTCTGGGTAATCACCAGTGAACAGCCTCTTTTGTCCTTTGCATCTATGCAGTGGTTGGTCTTAGAAAGTCACATGACCACCCCGACTGGTAGGGTCTGACCAGGTAATTTTCCATGGAAGGGTGGAATGTAATAACAAAGAATTCCCACCTAAAAAGGAAGGTTATTTAGGATGCAAGGTTTTCAGACCTTTGATCTTTGACTGGCAGGTCACTCCCAAAAGAATGAACCAGAGACCCCAGGGAAAGAAGATCTTCCCTAGTTTGGAGGCTTAGCTGAAGTAAGAACAGTTTTAAGGTATGTTTGTACTGAGCTTTTAGTGTTAGAACTAACTATGTGTTTTCTGTTATTTTAAATTTGTAATCTACTTTGCTCTGCCTATTTTCACTTGCAACCACTTTAAATCCTACTGCTTGTATTTAATAAAATCACTTTTATTTACTATCAAGCACAGTGTAAATAATTGTTACTGGGGAGGGGGGAGGAATCAGTGTGTACATCCTCCTTTCATTGTTAAAGGGAGCTCACTTAAATGATTTATTTGAGGTTCTGATCCCATTTGGGGAGTGGTTTCCCTGGAATTTGGGCCCGAAACTGCATTTTCCTCAGACCTGAAGAGCTTCAGTGTCTGTAACGCTCCTCAGGGTAGTGGTGACCTCAACTCTGTGCCTTGGCTGGGGGAGACCAGGAGATCTGACCCAGTAGGACAGGGTGGTAAGAAGCTCCAGAGAGCAAAGAGGCGAGTGTCAGTGGCTTTTTCAGTACACCAGGAGGCACCCCCAAGGGGTCTTCTGTGGCTGCACCCCATCACAGCTACACAATGTGTAAAGGAGTAGAGAATTGGGTCCCAAGGCTATCAAAGAATGTGCAGCTTTCATTCACTTTTTTACATGGTTTTATAACCAGTTCCTGAGCTCAGAATATCACTTGATCATGAAAGCAGTTCTCCATGGTGCCTTTCCATTTTTAATTTTAAATAATACTGGCTGTGTATGCACAAAACACTTGACGTAGGTAACATAGCTTTTGTTTTTTCTGGGCTTCCTTTTCTCCATGTACAGTAGCAAGCTGCAAACATTGACTAGCCAGCACTGGACAAAAATATCTTTTGAAGTGTACATCAAACGTTTCGGTTTCAAGCAGGGAAGAATTCACCTTCTTCACCCCACAGATGTGATTTGCACACTTTACACCACATTGATCAAAGGCAAAAATGTGGCCAGCATCAGCTTGTCTCAGAGACACAGATGGATTTTTCAAGCATAGGAAATAGAAGCACCTACCACAGGCAGTTCATGTGCTAATCTTTCTAGAAAAGAATGAAACACTTCCCCGACTGGTTTAGAGTTGAACACATGCTTAGCATTCGAATGAATAATAATATAATACATTAATAATAAATAAACAAGACAAAAATTTACCTGCAAAGGATGTTTGAATAACTGTATAAATACTAAGACTTCAAGATTTGTCCCTGTGTTTCAGTAACTTTAAGAATGGATTTCTGCTACAACATGAACTTAGAGAAGTTGAACATGCATAGGTTATTTATTAATATACCAAAACTTACTCACTTTACTCACAGAAAAAAATCTTTGACTTTTCAGTAAGGTATTATTTTTACCAGGAGGATTTGGCTCTGTTACTTTAAGCTTTTTAACAGCATAATATGCAATTCATTTTTATTCCTATGATTTTTAATGTATTTTGTTATACGTGTGTATGTGTGTGTTACTAAGTGTGGACCATAACGTATACAGGCTATTCAATGTGCTTAAATTTTTGCTATCTCAACTTCAATTTTTTAAAACAACGAGTAGTCCTGTGGTACCTTAGACACTAATCAAAATATATATAGGGCAGCCCACAAAATATATATTTTGTGGGCAGCCCACAAAATCTCATGATACTATATATATTTTGGTTAGTCTCTAAGATGTCACAGGACTACTTGTTGTTTTTAAAGTTATAGACTAACACACTACCCCTCTGAACCTTCATTTTTGCAATTCTTGATTTAAAAAAAATTGTATAACTCTAAAAAAGGCCTTACATTCCTTTTTTTTTTCTTTTAAAAAGAAAACTGAATTTAAAAAGGGATAGATTGGGTCAGCATGTGAATGATCACAACTAGGCTCAGAAGTTCTCACTTGACTGCAGTTAATAGAATTGTGAGTACTCCTTCGTTGCAGCTGTTTTCATGTGGCTGGAACGGGTTACTGTGTTTCTCACTTTCTCAGCAAAGTGCATCAATTTACCATGGCATGATGATACATTCCTAAAGAGCAAAAATAGTATTATTTAATAACTAAATATTATTATTTACTATTTGTTTAAGCCCTGACAAGGCACTTGATGCTGTTTATGGCACCAAAGTTTTGCTCCCTGTATCCATCTTCCAATTTTTCTTCTTTCATATTTTGCTGTTATATTTTATATTTTTCTCACCAATTGCAATGTGAAACATTCTATGCCTGTTTATAAAGAGTTGTTTGTGAAACTACAAAAATTGGCAGGGAGACCTAAGAACAGACATAAGACCTGAAACTTTTTCTTTTCCTAATTGACTACATTTCAAGTTGATGGTGTCTCTTTAAGAAAGTCTTTTCTGTTTGGAAAGTTTTTTCCTGTGTGTGTGCTGCAATGGAAACTTGTACCATGAGCCTCATGCAAATTGTCCCGGCAGAGTTCCTGTATTTATCAGGCTGGCAGGGAGCAAATGGAGTGGGTTTCAGAAAATAAATCTTACCAAGGACTGTCAGAATATG